ACAACAACAGTAGCTGATAGGAGGTCAGGAGGTCTAGTGGTAAGGAGTTGCTCTGCTAACCCAAAGGCACGAGGACAGACAGCTATGAGTTGATTCTGACTTGACAGCCCAAATCACTTAACAATATGCTAATGACCTTGAGCATTTGGTCACATGTTTGTTGGCCATCTGAATGTCATCTTGGGTGTGTTCACATCTTCTGCCTAGTTCCTAATTAGGTTGTTCATCGTCTTCTTACTGAGATATTACTATTTCCTATAAATTTTAGAGGTGAATCCTTTGCCAGAAAATCATTGACAAATCTGTTTTCCTGATTAGCAAAGCCTCTTTTTCTCCTTTTTGTAAAGTCTTTTGATACATTGAATATGCTCATTTTTAGGAGTTCTTAGTCATATAGTTTATAATTTACAAATTGTGCATTTTCTGTTATATTTGAGAATCTATTTATGTTGTAGGTTGTTGTCATTGTTATGTATTTTGGAGTTGGAACTGGTCTGTACTAGATAGGCATTAAAAAGATTACCTCTTTCTCCCACAGAGCAGCTGGTGGTTTTGAACCACAGGCCTTATTGATTGGCAGTACATCTCCTTACCACTCTATCACCCAATTTTTGTGGTTGTTAGGTGCTGTCAAGTTGAACACGATATAGTGACCCTGTGAACAACAGATCTGACTCTGTCTTATTCTATACCATGTTCATTACTTCTGACATACTTGAGCTCATTGCAGCAGTCACTGTGTCAGTCATCAGTTGAGGGTCTTCATCTCTTACACTGACCCTCCACCTTTCCAAGCATGATGTCCCTTTCCAGAGAGTATCCTCTCCTAACAGCATGTCCAAAGTATGTGAGACAAAGTTGTTATCTTTGCCTCCAAATAGCACTCTGGCTCTGCTTTCTCTAAAACATATCTGTTCTTTTGAAAGTCTGTGGGATGTTCTGTACGCTTTTCCAATACCACAGCTCAAAGGCATCAGTTCTTCTCTCATCTTTATTCATCGTCCACCTCTCAGGTGCATAGCAAATGATTGAAAAGACATAGCCTGAATCAGGTGCACCTTAGTCCTAGAACAAATACCGTTGCTCGTAAGTAATTTGGAAAGCCTGACCACAGACTCTCTCAGTATGGTACATCTTCTGACTGCTAAGTACCATTGATTGTGGATCCAAGTATAAGATGAAATAATTGACAATTTGAATTTTTTTATTCATCTATCATGATGTTGTCTCTTGGTCAAGTGGTGAGAATTCGTGTTTTCTTGATTTTGAAATGTAATGCACATTCAAGTCCTTCTCACTTTGAGCATACAGAGTTGTGTCATCTGCCTAATGCAGATCGTTGGTGAGTCTTCCTCTGATCATGATGCCAAACTCTTCTTCATGGAGTCCAGCTTCTAGACTTACACTGAGATAAAGAGGGTGCTGTGCAGAGCAAGGAAACACTATGTGGTTTAAAATCAGGAAAAGTGTATGCCAGCATTGTATCCTGTCTTCCTTTCTTATGATTTGCTCAGCATATGGATTGAATAGCTATGGAGAGAGAGGGTACAGCGCTGGGACACAACTTTCCTGATTTTAAACTATGTAGTGTTCCTTGTTCTGCATAGTAGTCTCTTGATCTCAGTATAGGTTTTGCAAGAGCACATCAAGTGTTCTTGAATTCCCAATCTTCTAAATGTTAGCCATAATTTGTTATGATCCATACAGTTGCTTTTGCATAGTCAGTAAAGCATAAATAGACTTTCATCTGATATTTACCACTTTCATCCAGGATCCATCTGACATCAGCAGTGATATCCCTAATGCCACAGCTTTTTCTAAACCCAGCCTAAACTTGCAGTTCTCTGTCAGTGTACTGTTCTAGCTGTTTTTTGGATGATCTTCAGCAGGGATTTGCTAGTATGTGATATTAATGATATTGTTTGATAATTTCCGTATTCTGTTGGATCACCCTTGTTGGGAATGAGAACAAATATGGATCTTTTCCAGTCACTTTGCCAGGTAGCTATCTTCCAAATTTTCTGGTACAGACTGATGAGCATGTCCAGGGTTGTGACTGTTAGTTGAAACATGTCATTTGGTATCCCGTCTATTCCTGGGGCCTTATTTTGTGCCAGTTCCTTCAGTGCAACTTGAACTTCTTCCTTTAGCACCATTGGCTCTTGATCTTCTGACACTTCTTGAAATAACTTCAGTGTCAGCCAGTTCTTTTTGATATCTTGAGTCTGTATATTCCCTTCATCATCTTTTAATGCTTCCTGTATCATTCAAGATTCTTCCTGTAGCATCTCTCAGTATTGGAACTTGAGGCTTAAATTTTTCAATCCTTTCAGCTTGAGAAATGCTCAATGAATTCTTCCTTTTTTATTTTCCAGCTCTTTGCCCATTCCATTATAATACTTTCCTTTCCCTTCTTGAGCTGCCCTTTGAAATATTTTGTTCAGCTCTTACCTTAGCATCTCTCCTTTGTTTTGGTTTCTTAGTGCTCTAGTGCATTTTTTAGAGCCTTTTCTGAATTTTGCTTCAATTTTTTTGATGAACTTTGTAGCTTTGCTTGAAACTTTGTTATTTGACAGTCTGTTGTTACTGTGTGCCATGGACAACTCCAGCTATATATTTTGAACAAAAGCTCAGAACCTTGCCTTACCTGGTATCAGCCACACAATCTCTGACCAATAGGCTGGAGCCCATTGTTAAAGTCACTGTGTCAGTCCATCTTGTTGAGGGTCTTCATCCTTTCTATGATCTTCCAACTTTCTCAGCATTCCCTAAGGAATTGATAGTGATTATGGGACTGTAATTGAGTCGCTGGTTGGTACCAACATTAAATGGGCTCAGAAGTCTTGGCAATCTACTTGGAAAAATCAGCCTTTGAAACATTACAGAGCACATAGTTCTCTGACACACGTGAAGTCATCATGAGTCATTTGACTTCATGGCAGCTGGTCTGAACTATGACAACCACTGAGACTGGTGGAAATGGGCAACACAAGAGATAAGGTAACTTAATTTTTACTTAGTGGACATACTTTTTAAAAATTTTATTATTTTGGGGGTGTGTACCATCAAATCAGATCTGACTGGTACAGGTGGAGATTGTCCCTCCTTCTCCAGCAGAGAGCATCTGGTGGATTTGAACCTCCCACTTTTGGGATTGCCACTAGGCCAGCAGAGCTCGCTGCAGACATACTTTTTTAAAGTACATTACAAAGATAAACTCTTAACAAGCTCTCTTAACTCACCCCTCATTGTGGATATGGTGGAACTGACTCAATATCTGACCCACCACTGGGTGTCCAAGGCTGTAAATCACATAGGGGATTGCCTGTCTTTCTCCTGTGGAGCTACTGGTGGATTTGAACCACCAGAGTCGTGTCCTGTAGGTTAACAGGGCTCTCGTGTATAACTAAGCGTCTCCTATTTACTAGGCACATTATCTGTGCTATTGTATTTAATCCCTACAGCAGCATGTGAAGTGGGTACTTACATTGTGTTACTGTTTTACAGATTGTTAGGTACCTTCACATTGAGTACGTGTGACTTGTAGCGCACACTGATGACAGTCTGAACTCTCATATTCTTTGCCAACCTCATCATCACTGAAACCTTTGACCTGCAGTTATTTTATGGTCCATCTCTTTGAGGTTCTTCCTCTCTTTTGCTAACCCTTCCAGAGAATTGGAAGATTGTACCTCTTAGTAAAGTCGGATTTCTAACCAGCTTTTCCTTCATGTAAGAATGGTACTGAGTTCAGGTCTAGGTCTGGTACCTGGTGTAGAGAGTATTTTTAGGGTTTGAACCTGATTTAGTAGTGGAAGACTACATTAGGGAACTAACACTTTCTTTGGGAGTTTAGAAGAATGCCTTGCCAACCTGCTTTGTTTACATTTTGTTGTTGTTGATTGCCTTGAGTCAAGCACACTCATAGTGACCTTTACGAACAAAAGGCCTGAAGCCCCTCTACAACTATTGATATTTATCAAAGTTCATAGTTTCCAGGGACATGTTATTTAGGATGTGGGTGTCACTCCTGCTTTTTTTTTACATTTTGTCTAATAAAATTTATTGTAGGGAATGGAAATATGGAAATTAGGGGGGAAATTACCATTTATCTTCTTGTTGTAAAGTTGGTCTGTTGGCTACTGTTTGAAACACTTTAATGTGTTTAGCAAACTCCCTTGGCCAATAAATATTTTTAAAGAACCTATTCAAATTACCAATGCCATTTCTCTTTTCCCTGGCGACTCCGCCCCTTTTGACTCTACCTAAGAAAAGTTAATGTAGGGGACATTGCTGCATATTTGTTTCTCCCCTGAAACCAACAATGCTTAGTGAAAACCCTAGGAAGTAGGAACTTGTGGGATAGAAGAGAAAGGAGACAACTGCACAAGGTATGTTTACTGCAAAGTGAAAGGAGAATAAATAGGAACGTGAGGTGTTAAATATGTGGAATACAGCTGAAGCTTTTTCCAAAATTTTTGGTAGTATCACATCCATTAAGCCAGCTATATTTGTTTTATGCCCCAGATTTGTACACAAATTGACATTTTTATGATTTAAAGTTTTACTCTAAAATTTCTTAGTTGTTTGTGCTAATTAGGATAGAGTTAACTTACTTGGATGACCTTTATAAATTTTCTGAACCTTATATTGATTTCATTTGTGGACAGAATGCAATTAAATAGCTAAGGTAGACTATGGAATATGAGTGTGTATATTTTATATATGTCATTGTGTGTCTCAAAAGTTAAAGATAAGTAGCCTGCATTGTAAGAAACTATTTCGTGAGAAGAAACCTAAACATTTGTAGTTACATAGATTGTCCATTAACTAGAGACAATTAGCTTAGTAACTTGTTTAATATTAATAGTCTTGTTATTTTCTTAAGAGCCCTTTTGCTTGCTGTGAGGCTAGTCAGAATTCTTATCTGAGTTGACCATATTCACATCAGTGTGCACATGACAGATTTCAGTGGTTAACTTATCTGACTTGTTCAACAGGTTCCTGGGTGGAGCTACCGATGAATAGCAGCAATGGCAATGATAATGGCAATGGGAAAAATGGGGGGCTAGAACATGTACCTTCCTCATCCTCTATCCACAATGGAGACATGGAGAAGATCCTTTTGGATGCCCAACATGAATCAGGACAGAGTAGTTCAAGGGGCAGTTCTCACTGTGACAGGTAAGTAAGATTTCGTATTTTTGGTAGAATTTTGAAAACAGATGAATTGCCCAAATGAGTTTTGAAGCTACAAGATTAATTCCCATTGTTGTTGTGTACCAGTTGGAACTGACCCATAGCTGACCCTCTGGTGGGCTTTTAGAGGCAGTTAATTGCAGGGGAATGAAATTCCTCATCCTTCTGTGGAGCAACAGGTGGGCTCAAACGGTGTGACTTTAGGAGTGCAGTGCAGCTTCCCACCGGTAGGCCACCCTAAAATCAATTTACTTAAAATTTTAGCTTGACAAAATTTGACTTTTGATTTATTGCAACATGCTTATTTTCCCCTTTAAATTATTTATCAATCTATCTGCCTATTTATTTTTCTTTGCATGGCGCTTTTTAGTTTATTGGGTGAAAGAGTTACACTAGTCCAAGTTAAAAGTGTACCCCAAATGGTTACATTATACAAGCTATGAAGTTTTAAACTTGTGACAAGGGACAGAAGGGAAATTTATACTCATTGTAAGGAAATCCTCACTTAAGCTTTAGTGAGCCACAAGCAAAACCTTCAGCTGGTGGTCCTACAGGGAACTGACTCTTGCGCTGGTTACCTTGTAGCTAAATTACTTCTTCATATTCCGGATGCTCAATTAAAGCACCATTGCAGGCAAACTACTTTTTTTTTTTTTAAATAAACATTTACAGAGATTTTGCATTTCCGTTCATTCACTGCTGCACTTTTCTCCCTGTCCAACCCTCCCCACCAGTTCGCTCCTCTCTTTGAAAAGAAAAAAAAATTCCTTCTTTCGTATACAATTCCCCCATCCCCATTCTCCCCGCCCCCCACTGAGTACAACTCTCTGTGCAACCTTAATTCTGGACTCCTGTGCTAACCATAATAGTCATATATTGCCTCTAATCTCTTGCAAACTACTTCTTAAATGCCTTCACCAGTTTCTTTTTATCGTAATCATCAGTGATCTGTTGGACAGTTGTAAGGGTCTTCCTGCATTTCGCTGTTGAATTCTTATACGGATAAGAATTCCTCAGTCCAGCAGGAAGCAGGTCATCACCCTTACTTGCATCAGCAAAGGGGTCAAAAGAGTGGAGGTTCTGGATAGCGGACATACAGTTACGATTGATTACGATTCCTTTTCCTCGGTGGAAACAGCCTGCGGAAGGCAGTGGCAGGAGAAGGCGAGCGGTAAGGGGGCTTGAACGTGAGGCCTTTAAATTATGTTTTGTTGTTGTTGTTGAGGCAAAATACATATTTAAATCAGACACAGACTTAGTATTTTGAGTCTCTACTTCAATTTAAATTTATTTTCGTATTCAGATTTACTTCTTTTTACCCAGTATAAAACCAAGTCCACTGCTAACGCATGAATTCCTTCTTATGGTGGTACTATTTATTGGGTTTTTTAGGCCATAATTCTTAATAGAATGAGACTGCCTGTCTTTTTTTTTTTAAATTTTTATTTTATTTTCTTTTGTGTGTATGTGTGTGTGAGTGTACCGTCAAATCAGATCTGACTGGTACAGGAGGAGATTGTCCCTCCTTCCCTGGCAAAGCTCCTGGTGGATTCGAACCATGCGCCTCTGGGATTGTAGTTGCAGCTCCTTACCACTAGGCCACCAGAGCTCCAAAAGGAAGGAGTTATATTTTATTTTTATCCCAAACAGTAGGGGTCTTATCCTATAATAAATAGTCGTTTAACATTTGAATCAGGTAACTGTAAATTAGCTTGAATTACAGCAATATTGTCACAAGGGAAACTCCAGTTGATTTGAATAAAAATAGTTACTTTTGAAGGTCAGTTTCTTTAGAAGAAGTTTTATCCCAGATCTCAATCTTCAGTATTCTTCTAATTCCATTAATTAAGGACTATGGAAGGTAAAAAGTAAGAATGTAGAGATATGAAGGATGAGTAATGGAACTAGGTGATTATTTGTTAAAAGTTTTTTCCCTTTCAGAAATTAGGTATTAAATAGCATTATGATAAATATTTCATAAAAATTCTTAGTATAGAAACAAGCTATACTGTTTTGTAGACTCGTACCATTATGCTATACTGAATGATGCTCTGGTTAATTAAAAGTTAACTGTTATTAACCGTTTGGAAAATAAAAATAACAGAATATTAAAGAAACATTTTGAAACATTAGCACGGATTGTTCCTGAGGCATGAACTTAGGAATGATGATGATTCTATTTATTAATATTTTTGTATTTTGTAAAAGTTTTTTTTGTATGCTATTGTGTGCTTTTGAGTCAGACCTGACTCAGGCTGACCCTACAGCTGATAATCAGAGACAGTAAATTATATAAGAGAAGATTGCCTGTCTTTCTCCCATGGAGCATCTGGTGGATTCAACCTATGTGCCTTTGGAGTGGTAGCACAACTCTTCACATAGCAGGCCACCAGAGCTCTCTGTTATTTCTTAGGGAATGGAAAAAATACTTTTGCTGTTACAAGATTTGAATTTTTGTTTTTTTATTTGTTTGCAAGTGCAAGGGACCATACAACATAAACAAGTGTATGGAAAATGTTTTTGGGTGTCATTGAGTCAATTTTTGCCTTGTATTGACTCCATGGGACAAAGTAGAACTGCCCCATAGAATTTTCTAGGCTCTCATTTTTATGGGAACAGATTGCCAGGTCTTGCATATTATTACTTACCAGAAGAAGCAAAATAGGAGGCACTAGAGTTAAATTATGTTTGACATCCCTGGTTAGTTTGTGATCCAGTGGTGTTACCAAGGTAGCCAAAGGACTGGTTTGAGGGCTCTGTGCTACAAAGTGAGCATCTGGTCTCATCTCTGAGTTGTCTACATGGCTCCTACACCATGGAATGCCTATTGCCAAAACTAGAGAAGCTGCCTCTTTTTACCATTGATTATAGGAGCTACAGCCTTAATACATGGTCTGTCCAAAAGAGGATTTAGATTATATATTTTTCTATTTGGCTTATTAATATATTGGTTTCCAAACTTTATCTACTTATTACTGGTCTGCTGATAAGGTTTTTCCTTATTCAAGTACCTGACTCTTGATCATTAGTATCTGTTAGCTTTTGTTCACTTGGTGATATGATTGAGCAAAGAAAACCTTGTTTTATGTGCCATTAATTTGGTTCCACCTTATAGCAATCCTATATCTGATAGGAACAAACATTGCCTGTTTCTGCACTAGTCTCGTAAGCCTGTTATTTCAGCCTGTTGTGCCAGCCTATTTCCTCTTTTTTTAAAAAAATTATTTTTAAACACCTGTACTTCTTTCTAGATGAATTTGCTCATTTCTCTGTCAGGTCTTAGTTCTTTTCCAACACCATAATTCAAAGCCATCACTTCCTAGGTCTTCTGAATCTGACATGAATTTCTGAAAATTTCTGTTATGTACACTGCAACTATTTTTTAATTCTCTTCAGCAAAATTTTACTTGTGCATGATAGTATTCTATAAATCTGTTGCATCACCTTTCTTTGGGTTGGGCCCAAATACAGATTTTTTTTTTTCAGGTAGGTTAGCTAGATAACTGTCCTCCAGATTTCTTAGTCTAGGTGTGTGAACATCTCCAGCATTGCATTTGTTTCTTGATAAGTCTGAATTGCTATTTTATTTATTCCTGGGGCCTTGTTTACTACCAGTACCTTCTCTGCCCTGGGACTAATTCTTACATTACTATTGGTTCCTCAACATATGTTACTTTCTGAAATGCTTGAACAGTGACTCTGTATTCCTTCTGCCTTTTGATGCTGGCTGCCTCATTTAACATTTTGCCCAGTATAAAAACTAGAGGCTTGAATTTTTCCTTATTTCTTTCAACTTGAGAAATTCCAAAAGTATTTTTACTTTTTGTTTTCTAACTTTAAGTCTTTGCATATTTCATTAGAATGCTTTATCTGCTCAAGCTGCCCATTGAAATCTTCTGTTCCAGCTTTTTTACATTGACCTTTTTTCCATTTGTTTTTTCTACTCTCCAGGAAGAGGAAGTTTGATGTCCATTTTGGTCTTTTCTTCCTTTGGATACCCTTTTGTGTTCTACATTTATGATGTCCTTGATTTTATATCACAACTTGTCTGGTCTTTGACCATTAGTATTCAGTGCATCAGCTATATTTATGAGATGGTTTCTAAATTGAGCTAAGAATTTACTCAAGTTTATACTTTGGCATTCATAGATTTGTTTGAGATTTTCTTCAGCTTCAAATTGAACTTGAATATGATCAGTTAATGGTGTCTTCTGCAGTTGATCCTGTCCTTGTTCTAACTGAAGAGTTTCGTCATCATTTTTTGTCACACATAGAGTTGGTTTGATTTCTCTGCATTTTATCTGGTGAGGTCACGTAAATCGTCGACCATGTATGTTTTCAAGGACATAAATTCTTTTAAAAAAAGAAAAACAAATCTCAGTTGCCTTATAGTTGACACTCCAGCAGATTTTCCAAGGCTATGAATTAGAAATCAAATTGTGGATAAACTCCTCCCATTCAGTTTGTAGCCTCTCAAAACTTACTGGAGGAGACTAACTCTGAATTGGTTCTGATGCCACATAGTAAGTAGATCCTTGGTTTTTTCCAGCTTTTGCATTTCAGTCAGTAGTAATTATCAGTGCACCTTTTTGCATGTGTGATTTCACACTGCAGAAGTTGTTGGCATTAGTGGTTGGCACATAAATTTGAGTAATTGATGTATTAACTTGCCTTTTTAAAAACTATTCCTTATCACTAAGCCAACAGAGCTCCCTAATTAAGATACTTGGAGAAGATATTTTTCTTTCTTTCTTCCTTCTTCCATTTTGATTTCACCTTTCTTTCATCTTTATTTCATTCTTTTATTAAGGGTATAGTCTGGTTTTTACAGTGAAATTTTTTGCAACCCAGTATCCGTGTAATAGTGTACTTTATCATAGTAGGAAAACTCAGCTATTTCCCATGATAGTGAGTGATTGAAAAATGGTAAGACTACACCATTGCAAAACCTATAAAAACTTGCAAGTCCTATTGTATAAGTGGCCTTTTTGTAGATGTATCCTTTCAGCTTATAGGATTGCACTTCAGCATAGATCTTAAAATGTTCTTTTTGATGATGAATGCAATGCCATTTGTCTATTGTTGTTATTATCATAATTTTTTAAATTGTGATTTGAGCAAGAGTTTATTAAGCATATTGGTTTTCCATTCAGCCATTCATATTTTGTTATATAATACTACTTACAATACCCATGCTCTTCCAACTTCTACTCTGTAATTCTCCTTTCCACTAATCCTTTTGTTTTAATCCTTAATTTGTCATCCCCAGCATAGACTGTTTAATTATAAATGACCAGCACTTGTCTCTTTCAGTTTACTAAACTTGGAGTGATTTTTATGCAATCCATTTAATTTTATGACTTCCAATTTTCCCTGCTTTATACTTCATGTCCTACATGTCTCAATTTTAAGTGGTTGTTTTCAACTATTTCTTGTCATTTTGAGTCATGGCACATAATCAAGTGAAGTTCCTCTAAGTTTTACTTTACCCACATCAGTAAGGTCAGCTATACTTTGAGGAGGCAGCTCTAGTATACAGTTATATTTTAAATGCCTTCCAGCTTGAGGGTCTCTTCTTCTGGTACTATGTCAGTAATGCTTTGCATAGTTTTCACGGACCTGTTTTTTAGAAGTAGATCACCAGATCCTTCTTCCTAGTGCCTTAAGACTGTTTAGACTCTTAAAAATTATTAATAAACCCAAAGAGCTTATGTTTACTTGGGGAGCCCTGGTGGCCTTTAGTAGCAAGAAGATGCACTATAGTCCTAAAGGCACATGGTCTAATCCACCAGCTGCTCTGCAGAAGAAGGATGAACAGTCTCCTCCTGTGCAATTAAGAGCTTCTGAAAACCTGCCTGAGGGTCACCTGTGGGTTGGTTCCGACTCTGCAGTACTCACCACCACCAGCATATATATATTTACTGCCTTAGAAATTAATGCAAAAAATTTTAAGTATGTATTTATAAATTTAAAACAGTATTATTACATTTTTATTGAGATTTTAATGAAAAGTTTATAGAGAATTTGGATTTCCATTCATTAATTGTTATACATTTTCTTTCCCGCCTGCACCCCCTCCAGTTTTCTTTTCTCTTTGAAAAAAAAAAATTATTGTTCTATATTCTCCTGTCCGTTTACTATGCAGCTCTTACTGTGGACTCTTGTCATGACAATAATACCTAATATATTCCTTTAAAACATCTCTCTCCCTCATCTGTTTCAATACAGTGTGCATTATTTATCCCCTCTTTTCTTAGTTTCCCCCCAACCCCGATGTCAGTCCTGTTTTATAACAGTGGAATTATGCAGTATTTGTATTTTTGTGACTTGAGATATTACATTCAGCATAATGTCCTCCAGAGTCACCCATTTTATAGACTATTTCATTAGTTCCTTGTTTTTCAGTGCTGCATAATATTCCACTGTATGAATATACCAGAGCTTCTCTATCTATTCATTTGTTGATGGGCACTTAGGTTGTTTCCATCTCTTTGCTATTGTGAACAACACAGCAAAAATAATTACATTTTAGTGAAAAATAATTATTTTTTCAAAATAAGAAATTATGATCAGTGATCATAGTGGCATTTTTGACATTTTTGCAGAGATCTCTTTAATGTCTAGCTTATTAGAAAACAGCTTGATTTTCATTTGTTCTCACTGTCTCTTGGTGAAGTCATATATCTGCAGTCACACATCATAGACTCTAAAGAACTCAGATGTGTAGAAGAAGATGAAGATGGGGGGAAAAAATAACATCCTAATAGTTTATGAAAACAATTTTGATCTTGAAGATCTTCTCAAAGACACTTTGGGAACTACTGTTGCAGTTAGATGTATTGTATTAATGATAAAAGAACTTCGAGAGAGAGACCCTCAGATTAGCTTTCTGAATTTAAAAATGATTTAGCCTTTTAAAAAAAAGACTTAAAATAAGAAAATGTGGTAGTCTTCTGTGTTTAGCTATTTGTTTTGCAAATTTATCATGGTGATGAAATTCACCACTTCTAAACAAGTTCAAGGCGTTTTGAAGGATGCTTCATCTTGTTTACCAAACACCTCTCTGCCATTGACTGAATTCCACTCATCATGACTCTCGTCACGTTTCTGAGGCTGTAAATACTATGTTGAGAAGATGACTCATCTTTTTTACTGTGGAGCCACTGATGGATTTGAACCTACAGACTAATGCACCAGAGCTCCTATTTTACTTAGTTATATAATATTAATTCTCTTGTATTGGGATATGATGTACAGATCTTTTGTTGCTTTTTGAAGACACTCTGCTATAACTTAGTTTTTTAAACTTCCAGTAGGGGCTGATTATTGAACAAATGAGAGTTAAAACTAATGGCTAAATTCTTTCTTTTGTAGCCCTTCCCCACAAGAAGATGGACAAATTATGTTTGATGTAGAAATGCATACCAGCAGGGACCATAGCTCTCAGGTACATTTTCCTTATTTATAATATAGAATTAAGAAATAGGATGATTATCTTTTAAGACATCTAAGTGTGTTTTGCAAAATACATTAAAGAATAAAACTTTTTAAATAAATTGATGTTATTTTAAGGTACTCCATTTTTAACTGAAATTTATTTACTCCTTCTTAGACTCCTTCTCTACTAACAATTTTTGCCTCTGTTGTCCTAAAGAATGAGACATTCTTGTTATTATGTACCATTCAGGTAGTTACTTGAGGTTACAAATAGAAAAACTGAGATAGTTGTCCTATTCAAGGTCATAAAGTGTCATGAGAAACATTTACTCAGTGGGAAGCTCCATGAAGAAATCTGAAATCATATAAAGAAAATAATGCAGCTTTCAGACCACCCAATCTCTTCCCCTTAATAATCACCATGAATAATGGCATATTTGTTTTTAGACAGTGTTTTATAGGCCCCTGGTACATGGTGAGTAACCCTTTGCACAACTTGAATGAAATGCCATCTAGTTCTGTGCCATCTCCATGATTCATTGCTGATCTCTTAAAGGCTGTAAAAATTCTTTCACTAGAGAAAATCTATTTAATTAAGCAAGTTTTCCAACCTTATTTGACTTCTACCTCCCTACCACCACCAAATAGTTTACCTATTAACTTAAGAGTAATGGTGTCTCTCTGGAGATTAAGGTGCGTCTGATACAGGCCTGGTCTTTGCAATCGCTTGTTATGCATCAAAGAGTTGGACAATGACTAGGGAGGGTAGAAGGAGAATTGATGCCTTTGAGCTGTGGTGCTGGAGAAGAGTATTGAATGTACCATCGACTGCTAAGAAAACAAACAAGTTCATCCTGGAGAGGGTTAAACCGGGCAGCTCTTTGGAAGCAAGGATTCTGAGGTTTTGTCTGATATACTTCGGACATGTTTTAAGGAGGGACCGGTCCTCGGAGAGGGACGTCATGCTTGGGAGGGTGGAGGGACAGCACAGGATAGGAATGCCCTCGATGAGGTGGATTGACTCAGTGACTGGGGTAATCGGGATAGGTGTATCAGAGACAGTGTGATTGGCACAGGATAAAGCAGAGTTGGGCTGTTGTACATAGGGTCACTATGAGTTATAAGCAACTCCACAGCCCATAACAACAACAACTAACTTAACAGATCCCATTGTTAAGTGCTTATGGAGTGGCAAGTACACAATTAAATAATCATTGACTATAAATGGAATTCTAGAGCTAACTATAATCACCTTAGAATTTTAAAGGAATTCATAGAACTCTGGAAAAGAACATAAGACAGAAAACGTAATTCTGGAGAAAAAACATGGCCTTCCTGACAGAGTTATGGTAGGCTTGTCAGTGTGACCTGTGTTTAGAAAGGACTAACTAAAAGAATATTGGTTATTATCAAGGAGGGGGTAAGTTATAAAACCAGTTTTCATTCACTTTAAAGAATATTGAATTTCAGAAAAGCAATCTAACTCTTACAAGACAAACATTAATTAGATCTGCTATAGTAAAACTTTCTGTCACCAAGTCTATACTTTCTAACATTCCTTCCTCATAGTATCTTTTCTCCATACCTATTTAATCTGTATGCTGAGCAAATCATTCAAGAAGCTGGACATGAGGAAGAAGAATGTGGCATCAGGATTAATGGAGACTCCTCACCAACCTATGTTATGCAGATAACACAACCTTGCTTGCTGAAAGTAAGGAGGGTTTGAGGTGCTTGGTGTAGAAGATCAGAGATGATAGTTTTCAATATGGATAACATCTTAGGATCAAGAAAACAAAGATTCTCACCACTCAATTGATAGACAACATTATGATAGATGGAGGAAAAATTGTAACTGTCAGCAACTTCATTGGATCCACAGTCTACACCCTTGTTACCAACAGGCAGGAGATGTATTGCACTGGGAAAGCCTGCAGTCAAAGACTTTTCCCAATTATTGAGTAACAATAATAGTTTGAAGACTAAGGTGCCATCGTCTTTTCAGTCATTTGCTATGCATCTGAAAGCTAGAGAGTGAATAAGGATGACAGAAGAATTACTGATGCCTTTGAGTTGTAGGTGAGTACTGAATATTCTGTGGACTGGAAGAAGAACAGAAAGATAATGTCTTAAAGAAAGTGAAGCCAGAGTCCTCCCTGGGGACAAAGATGAGAGTTTTGCTAGGAGAGGGCTATTTCATGGTGCTTAGAAAGGTGGAGGGTCAGTAAAAGAAAGTTCCTCAACAAGATAGATTGACATAGTGACTGCAGCAAGTATGTCGAGGATGACACCGGATAAGACAAGGTTCCAGTCTGTTGTTCATAGGGTCTCTGTGAGTTGTTCTCAACTGGACGGCACCTGACAACAACAATAATAGAGTAAAACTTTTGATTAGGGAGAAATCAGTAAGTTTCTTTTTTTAATTTTATAATTTTTTAAATGTGTACTATCAAATTTGATCTGATTGGTATCTTTTTTTTTTTTTAGAAGAAATACAGCAAAAATACTCTTTAGAAATAAGGATAGCAAAATCTTATCTTATGCACTTTAACTACTATATCTGTAGGGACCAGTCCCAGGAGAGGACATTATGGTTAGTAAAAGAGGGTCAGTAAAAAAGAGAAGGCCCCTCAGTGACATGAATTGATACTAGACATAACAATGTTGGCTCTAACACAGAAATAGTGGGTGGTAAGGATAGCAGGAGACCAGACAGTTACATTCTTTGGATCATAGGGTTGCTATGAATCAGCCAATTTGATGACACCCAGCAGTAGTAATGATTTTTTTTTAGACTTTCAAAAAGCTTTTTTACATTAATTTTCAAATAGAAGAAAATATTTTTTAAAAATTACTTTGGTGTTCAAGATCTTTCGATTTGTTAATCAGAAGAAAGCTTAAAGATAAGGAGAAGTTAAAAACAGTGAGCAAAGTCTTATTCAAATGACTGTTTCCTGTATGCTCTATAAGAGGAACATACAACATTTTAAAGCTTTTCTAGAAAATAAGGAAAGGCACTAACATTTGTGAAATATGCTCTAGATATTAAATATTTTTAAGGAAATTTTAAAATTTAAAATGTTTTCACACCATTGAAAAACATGAAATTATTCCCATTGGACAAAAAGAGAAAGCCTGTGTTGTATTAAGTTATTTATCCAAGATCACACACAAGTAAATCATAGAGCCAGGACTAAAGCCAAGACTTTGTGAGTATGCTTTCTGTTAAATTAACTTGCCAATATCAGGAACGCTCACAAGATAGTACAAATGGATTAAATTGGTTGAATTATGATATGGGAAAGTCAAAGGTCTTCTTAGAAAAAAGATTAAATGTATTTTCAGAATGCCAGTTTTTCTAGAGTCTCAGTAGGGTAAAACAGAATCTAGGTTGTTCCCTGAAGACATTTTCCGTTTGTTTCTAAGAGCAGAGAGCCCAGTGAAATGTTGGGTATCTGATAAGTTTTTTAGAACCAAACTGAAAATGCTTGTTGCTTCTTTTAGAATTATGGTTTAATTGTAATTAGACACCATGTGCAATGTAATAACCAAGTTTAGGGACCTAAGAGATTGAGGTAGGCCAGAGTAGAAAAATGAAATATTTGGAAGATCCTTATCTTTTATGTAAAATCAGCTAAAAGTAGTAGAATTCCCTTTCAGAATAGCTGTAGGTTTAGAGACAGTGTTAAAAGTATGGATCATACAAAATTTGAGTTAAGTGCATTTTTATAATGTTCTAGAATATAAGGATTGGAAGGAAGGCAGTATGAAAGTGACAAATTCTATAAAAAAAAGAAAGTGACAAATTCAGGTTAAGAAGAGGAAGTTGGTGTTACTGATGAATTTGAGGTCATGAAAATGATACAGGATAGGGCAAGGTTCAGATCTGTACATAGGGTTGCTGTGAGTTGTAGTCAACTCAGTGGCACACAACAGCAATTGTTTTGCCGTGGTATCAAGCTGAATTCAGCTCCTGGTAATCTCACCTGTACAGGGAGGTTGTGAATAAGGAGAGTTCATGATACTTATTCTAAAGATAAGCGTACTAAACTTACTTGAGAATATTTCTTTCTTCAAATTAGTCCATAGATAACTTTGTTTCAGTTAGCTGACAGAAAAATACATTCTCTTGAAAAAAAAATTTATTATTATTATTATTCTGTTGGAAAGTTACTAATTTGTTAAAAAAAACTTAAGCCTAAATTTTGAAACATTTTTAAGAGGGGCATGTAAAATAAATTTTGGAAATGAAAAAGAATTGCAGTATGTTGAATATAATAATATATTGTTGGCATACAAATCTGAAAGTAAATTGTCATCTCTGATGTAATGTTTTCAGTGTTAACTCCAAAGAGCAAACTCCTGATTTTGAGTAATGTCAGCACCTAGTGGAAGAAGCTTAATCCTAAATGCTACATTGTATAATTCAGTGGAATTTGTCAACTTCAGCATAATTAGTTAACTACCAGGGTGGCAAAAATTCACAGAGATTTTCATTTTGGTTTTGATAATAAAGAGGACTGCCTGTGTGGAAGGACTGTCAGAAGCAATCTTCCTGGGACAGCAGTATCACCAAGAGCTAACCTCACGGCTATCGAGTGGATTCTGACCCATAGGGACCCAGTAGGACAAAGTATGATTGCCTTGTGAGATTTTCAAGCCTGTAGTCCTTATGGAAGCTGACTGCCTCATCCTCCATGGAGATGCCAGAGGGCTCACATCAAAGAGCTTGTGGATAACATCCTAATGCTTAACCACTATGCCACCAGGGTTCCCTCTACAGAAAACTCATTGACATCAAATTGGACCTGACTTGTAACACCCTCCAGTGAATTTTCAAGAGATTGTAAATTTCAGCAGAAGAGATTGCTCATCTCTCTCCTTAGTAGCCACTTCTAGATTCGAACTGCCAGAGAGGTGAGCACCACTGCCTTTGAATTAGCAGTGTAACTCTACAAACTACACTACCAGGGCTTCCTGTCAGAACAGTCTTTTGAGTTGCTCAAGGTC